GTTTCTACGCGTCAGCAGAGTACGAAGTGGATTTGATGTTGTCCCGTGAATAACTTTATAAATAAGAATGCACATGTCCTGGACATATTTACTTTTTCAAGTAGAGTACTATAGGTACTAGTGCTGTTGTTAAGGACTGATCTTAAAGCACGCTCGTTGAGTTTTTCAAGTTTAGCCAATGTTGTTTTTCTACAGTGCATCCACACTGTGGAACAATAGGTAAAGTGAGGAAGAATGTAAGCCTTATATAGTGTAAGCTTGGTTTGAAAGCTAAGAGGTTTTCTAAACCGGCATATGATTGCAATTTGCTTGCTAATCTTCTTGCATAGTGAAGCTACGTGATTGTTGAAATTCAGCCGGTCATCTATAAGCACGCCCAGGAGTTTGCAGGTGGTAGAGGGTTGTATAGATGTTCCATCAATCATGAAGCTGATTTTGTCTTTCTTTGCTTGGTTACGTTGGAGGTTTGATTTTGTGAAGACCAAGGATTCACATTTCTTAGCATTTAGNGTTTTACCACTCGCTTGGCAAATTAACAAGAGGTACTGAGACTCTGTAATTTTCTTCTTTATTCTCTCTCTTGTTCCACTGCTTATTTCTACTACTTTCAGCAAGGAGTGCTCCAGTATTAAATACAAAAATCACAGACATGTTTGGGTTAGCTAACCGTGGGAACTTCCAAAACAGGATGTTCAGTGTGGGTAAAACTCAAGGTCAGTTTTACCAACTCAAACATGACCACCTAGCAAACTAGTTATCTTCAACCATAACAAGGGATTAAAATGTCTAGCACGGTAAGTGCTGAGCCAAGTTCAAGCACACACTAAAAATAAATGATCAAAACTATAGATTCATCAAAATAGCACGTAGGGGCGAAAAGGCGAGACTTAATAAAACAAAAGGTAAACCTAAAAATGCTTGAAATATCGAGCCTTGAAAACGCTCTACAACATCTGCATAAGCGGATAGTTTGGCTTTTTTAATGTTGTAGAACAGGTCGTTTATAAAAATGTTGAATCGCTGCGGGCCTAATACAGACCCTTGTGGAACACCTGACCTTATCTTTTCGTTGCGTGAACGAATGACATTTAGCCTAACACATTGTGTTCTGTTTTTCAGATAGTTTGCCAGTAGCTCTAGGCTTTCTAGGCTGACACCGTACGCTGCAAGCTTTTCAAGTAGTAGATTGTGAGGAAGGCGATCAAAGGCTTTGCTGAGGTCAATTAATGTCGTTCCAACAGTGTTGTTTGAATCTAGTTCAGTTTTCCAGTCTTCAGTCAGTCTCAGCAAGGTAGTACAGCAGCTGTGGTTCTTTCGGTAGGCAGTTAGGGTGGCTGGGAAGATAGATTCAAAGCAAGAGGTTAACTGAGGACATAAACTTTTTTCAAACACTTTGCTAATTACAGGCAGAATAGTAACTGGTCGATAGTTTGTTTTGTCCATTGCATCACCACTTTTGAAGGACGGTAAAACCTCCCCATGTTTCCAGGTGCTGGGTATCTCCTTTCTCTTAATCAGTTGGTTGATCAGAGAACAGATCGGTTGGCTGAGACTGGGATAGCCTTCTTTCAAAGCCCTAGGAGGTATTAAATCACACCCGGTAGCTTTTCTGATGTTAAGTGACTTTAACAAGTCTGCTATCGTGGATTCGGTTACTGAGGTGAAGTTAAAGACAACAGTAGAAGAAACGTTGTTCACGATGGTGGAAATACTGGGGTGATTTTTCGGATCAGGCGAGGCCAGTGCGCTTATGCTGAGAAATGATCATTAAGGATATCTGCAATCTGATTTTGGTCTTGGATGATGATGCTTTCGCTTTCCACTAACTGAATAGACTCAGACATCTGACTTTTCCTGGAGAACAAGAATGGTTTAAAGACGCTCCAAAATTCCCAAGGATTTCCGGTAGATGCACTGCATTGCTTGGCAAAGTATTTCTTAATGGCCCTTCTTCTCAGGTTTACGACACGATTTCTTTGTTGACGATATTTTTCCCAATCGCTTGGTTCCTTGGTAGTGTAATATGTTCGTCTGAATTTATTCCTACATCGAATAACGCTATCCAACGGATAAATCGCTATCCGGCGGATAAGTGCCAGCCAAACGTACTGGATAGAGAGTCACCCAGTGGTTTGCGTTATCCAGTCTTCGAACAACTGAGGCCTGGAAAGCGACCCTGAGTCTAACGGTTCTTTGCCTATGATGTATGCCGATGATTCCATTCTTGCTATCCAGGTTTGGAACGAAAGTGATTTAAATACCGCAGCTGATGTTGTAAATATTAACTTTTTAACTGAATGGACTGACAATAACTGCATGAAATGTAACTTTTCCATATCCAAAGAGTTGGTTATTTGAAAGAAAGGCTACCTTATGAAATATATAGAGAGTACAGAATATACAACAATTATTCCATAAATACGCATTTGATATGAAATAGTAAATAGCCAAAGAGGCGAGTCGGCTCCAACTAATCTTGTATTCAGCAATCACGAATGGAATAATCGTTTTATTAAATCTTAGGAAAACCTTGAACGTTTGGATATTTGGTGCATTTTCCAGCTCCGCAACAGTTGGCACAATGCATTTCCATATAAGGTGACTTGGAATATGAACTGATAACCGGAGTCGAGTGAAGCAGTGAGAACACTAGAAATGCAATATTCGGAGTTGAAAATTTAATAATCCTCACTGTTCATAACTATCTATTTTAAGGGGTTACAAACTGTAGGAGTTAAAACTGTAAGTTTTCTGTTCAAATGAAAAATAGATAATTCCAAGCATATAAATGTGTACGCTATTTAAGAGCTCTCAGAGAGGATATAGCTAAGCAGAGATCGATACATTATTCAGTACTTTAGTTATGGTTAGGCTAACTTGTGGAAAGTCTGTATATGGATTATATCATCTGGAAATTTATTGCCATACAATGGTTTCTGGATCGTTGTTACAAACGTAGATACTCGTCCGCTCCAATTACTATTTTGAATTGGTCACAAAAGTCGGATGAATGTATCTAAAAACTTAAGTAGGAGGAAATGTCACCATTACTTTCAATCCCTTTCTGCAAACAATCTAGTCATTTTCAAGCTCAGACAAGTAGAGCCCTTATTTCCGATTTGTATTACAGAGCGGTCCAAAATCTCTTTTATGAAGAGACTTAGTTTTACTTACAATCTAGATGTTAATAGTTATTATTAAAAACTGGATCATTGGATAATGCTATTGAAGACTTTTTATTGGCTTAACCATTATGGTATATGAGCCAATATACCATAATCTACAAATATGGTAAGCGTACGCGTTAGCTTAAAATTAAAAGGGAGCTGAAAAATTTAATAAAATTTAATAATTTAATTTAACATTTTTAATAAAACACATATGTACACGATCCTCGCAGTAATGGTGTTTAATAAAACAATTGTTCCACTCGCGCTTGTTGGATGTGAGATGACTATCTATCATCTCATATCCAACGCACGCTCGTGGAATATTTGTTAAATAGATATCGGTGTATTCCTTTTTCGCAAATTCCTAGGAAATTTTGTAATATTTGATATAACATTTGATATATATTGTTATCAGTCAGATTAATAAAGATAATACATGGCGCACCTAAAGATGAAATTTCTCTTCGAGTGTTTCACTCGATATCTCACACGTACACTGCGCTTACCTTTGAGAAATTGAGTTGAACATGAAAGGAAAAATCCATAAATATATATTTTGTTTATTATACAAACACCATAGACCTTTGCTGATGAGAAAAGTCGACCTTGTTAATGGTGAACGCTTTGTCATTTATAGTTATAAATAGTTACTATTGTAATGGTTATAAATAGTTACTTTTGGAAACTTCTAGACTCTCTTCGGATGCTTATATAAGCAGCTCGCTAGTCAGGTTGTTGTTGTGATTTGGGACTTCGTTCCCTGTTTGTGATCTACAAGCGATATTGTGTGACAAGTGACAAGTGAAAGGATTTTCCCGCTCGGATGTGATACTGACATTCTGCTGTCAAGTCCAGAGTTGTTTACCGTGGAGTGCGATACTGCGAAGGAAGTCTTCAGGAGATTTCGCCAAAGAGAAGGACAGTACTTTGCTTGTGGTCAGATAAGCGTAGAGAAGTACATAGTTAATTTTAGTTGGATTGTTCCAAGAGTAGTCGCTAGCTCGTGTTAGGTTATCTCCCGTTGTTTACAGTTAAATAAATTGTGTTTCGTGGAAATAGCGAGGTTATTATCTTTCTGCCGGTAATCAGTTACCGTAACAATATCAAACACGTAAAAATTATCGAAATTTCACATGCGTGCTGTTACAGCTTTTTTCAGGGCTGGAAATCCTTGTAAAATAGCGCAGTTTGTATAACAAAGAGCACTATTATCATAGTTATTTCTTATCGTTTTATTATTATTAGTATTATTATCACTTATCTTGTTGAGCTCAAAGTCTGCCCAGCTTCCAAGCCCGTCTTTCTCGTATAGTTCTCAAACTTTTGCAAACTCAGAAAGTACGGGGAAGGGAGAGTGAATGACTGCAAGGAATTTAACGCCAGAGTATTGAAAACTTGCTGCTAAAAAATACCTCCCTCAAAGGATTCGCATCTAACAAAATCGAAATCAAATAGTTGACACTGCTGGAAAATCTGTTTGAAACTAAAGAAAGAAGACAGATTAGCAAACTGCTCAGACGAACACTTTCTTTGGTCTGGAAAAGTGAAATGAATAAATAATGAATAGAACAAAGTTCAAATGTCGCCTAAAAAGACTCGAATTTTCCTTTTATGAAATATGGATCCTTGGTCGTGGGCGACAGAAAAAAAAAAAAAAAAAAGAAAAGAAAAGTCATAGTGGAGCTTATGTATTCTGGTTGGTCGATGATTGTTATAGTGATTAAATACAAAAATAGTTCCAACTCGGTTTCTGTACATCCTCCTACTTGTATTCATATAGGAATTGTTCCCCCGCCACCTCAGTGTCGATATCTTGGCATAAACTCTACAATGAACGATACATCCGCTGCTAACATCAGCTTAAGAGAAGATCTTAAATCATCAAAGGATGCTCCCTCCAAGGCGGAAGGGATAACGTTGTGCAGTGCTTTTATGCTGACATTTGTTTTAGTTGTCGTGGGAAACTTACTCACGATTATTCTTTTTGCGAAAAACAAAGGTATTCGCAAGAAAAGTTTGTTTCTACCCGTCAACATGGCGTTTGCTGACCTGCTGCTAGGAGTTGTGAGCTTACCTTTATATACTTACTACGTCGGCTTCCACTTCCAGCTGTGGACCACGGGAACGGAAGGCTTTGAGAGCACCAAGGCTCTCGACATTTTCTTCATGGTAGTTGATACATTGTTCTCACAAGCCTCGCTTATTTCTGCAGCCGCCATTTCCTGTGAAAGATTTTACGCCGTGCGTCGGCCGTTTCAGCACCGAACATTGTCAAAACGAGCGTACTGCATTGCTATTTTCGTTGTGTGGATTCTCGCTCTCTTTGCTTCTGCGATCTGGACTGGATTAAATGTCCTCCTTTCTCACAAACACGCCATGGTTGTTTGGGGGGCACATACATTGATTCTCGTGCTTATCATGTGCGGTTGTTACATTGGTATTTGGACAAAGTTTCAAAGTGGAGGTGCCGCCTCTTCACATCAACAAAACAGAGACTTGCAAAACAAGCGCTTGACAAAGACTTTGCTGTTTGTATCTGGCCTTACGTTGCTGGCGTGGTTGCCTTTAGTTATCTTTAATTTCTTAATATCTCTCTGGGATTTAACTGTACAATGGAAATTTTATTTCATGGTAAACGTTTTAAACTACTCCAACGCTTTTGTCAATCCATTTGTTTATGCATTAAGAATCGCTGAGTTTCGACAAGCGGTGTCCATGCGTTGCTTTGGAAGAGAGCCTCCTATTATCACAATGCTAAGTAAAACAAAGGATGAGGGGCATGGAGCAACTGAAATCAGTCATGAACTGGCATTTGAAAACGATGTTATGGATAGTAAATTGTAAATGGAACATTTTACAGTGTAAAACCAAATCTCATGGAGGTTTAAAGTGACGATGGCAAACTGGAGAGTTGTAAGAGTTATCTATTTTACTTGTGCTTGCACTGAAGTGATTAAACGAAACTATTCAAATCAGCAGTCATATATATTCGCAAACACTGTTACACTTGTTCTCACGGAACATAAAGGAGTCAGAACTTTTCTCGGTTGCTCGCGTGACTGCTGCGTTTAATCCTGATAAGAGTTGAGGCACCTGTTTTAAGAAAATTGAGAAAGTGAGTCTACTTAACTATGCTTTATAATAAGAAAAACTGTTTTGTTATAGACGAAGAGGCTACCAGCTGCGTAGAGATTAAATGAAGACTGTCAAGAAACACAGTACGATTTTAAAATGATTGACAGTTGAATAATTTTTTCTTTTAAAAGGAAAATTTTATTATATGGTAGGTGTTTTCAACCATTTCACTCTGTTGTCAATCCAGTTGTTTATGCATTAGGAATTTCGTAGTTTCGACAAGCTCTGTCGTTTTCTCTCAGGGAACCTCATGAAAATGAAGACTCTTCAGCAAAACGCAAGAAAAATGTTTAAATGTCAGGAAATTCCGAGTAAAACCTAGGAGTGCTATCACTATATATTCTAATGATGAAGATTATGATAATGATGATGGTAATACTAGATGATTTATTTATGTAGCTGTATTTCCAAAAATAAGTCCAATATCACTCTAGAAAAGAGAGACATAATTAGGCATGATGGAGTCCGGTATAAACCTACCCTTACATTCACAAATATCTTGAATAACTTTTAATTTGATAACTGAAATCAACCGTTTAGCTTTATTTGTAATTGAAAGTAATTTATGTCGCATATTCAGAACCATTGCTACCACGTATTGTCCTATATTTCTATCTTGTAGCTCACTAAGATTGTTGCATGCAATCTATTTCTCAGTAAATTAGCCAGACATAATAACTATATCAGACTAATGTTTGACACAAGGCTAATAAACAGAAGATAATAAAGGTAGTTATTATCCAACTACACTTCTTAGAGTACAATTAACGCCATAGACGAGTACAAATGTCACGCAGTATTTGTACTCTAAGAGTACCGGTTAAACAGGTTTTCTCGCATCGCGCAAGGATTGTAGTTACGAAAAAGAAAATTGGCGGACAATTTCAATCATATTTCCGACGACGAAGAGTCAGAATGGGTGGCAAGTATAGATCCAAGTTTATTAGATGAATCGAACGAAGATAAACAGCTTGAAGACCAGGAAATTTCTGCATTTATTGAACAAAATAGAAACAGCAACACGACAACGGGCCAATTCCGTTCCGCTTTGCATACTTCTGTCACGCACTCCCTGAAATAAATATCTGCGAAATTCGCCCGCACTGAAATAACAGTTTGGCGTGTTGGATAATGAATAACTTATTAGACGTTTTGTTTAGTATCGCAGAGTATTTTTACTCGTTATTTGTATTTTGACTCGGCCTACGGGCTCGTCTAAATACGGCACAACTCGTAAAAATACTCAGCGATACTACACAACAAAACATCTAATAAGATATATGTATTTTAGACTAACCTGCTGATGTATAATTCGGAGAAAATAAACAAACCAGCAGTCAATGATGAGCTGAGAACTGTGTCTTAGATATATCAACCACTACCGGTTAGATTTGTTCTCTCGCAGTAAAAAGAACTGAGTCAGGACTTTCCTCGGCCATGCCCGTGATTAAAACGTGTTATGCAATAGATACAAAGAAATACTTGTTGATACGCGAGGACTTGTCATTTCCAACTAGACAAGGATGTTTGATATTAGGAGAAATCATCTGGATTAAATTGTATAACAAAATATCCCTCTTTGTTATCCCTTCCGACAAATGTACCGGATCTGTTCGGACAAAGACTTTCCCTTCATAGTGTTCACGAAAGAAATTATCAAAAGCAAATGCAGGATAACAAAAACCCATTGGTTTATAGGGATAAGCACTTGTCCAACTTTGAAATGCGAGCAGTAAATGTAATTTGTCTCTGAACCTTCACCCCTGACGGACTCCCTTACACAGAAACTCTCACTAACATCAAAGCTGACTATAATTTAACATTCTTATTTTTCTAGGAGTCTTGTTAGTGCACCTTAAATTTCCCTTTCGCTCATGGATAAAATTTGCGGGTATGTAGCCTATTTGCCTTGGATTCTTACATTGAACTAAATAAAGGTAGATATAACGAACAAAAAACCAGGGATGGACAATTGGACTGAGGTCCGACGGTAAGCGCTATCTTTACTCAACAATTTTGATTATTCATTATTCATTGCCTTACTTCTCTTATCTTCCAGTCCAGTGTAGACCCATTGTATAAAACAAACCACAAAAAAACCAAACTTAGTACAAAATGGTTGTTCCGACGAACGCCTGTTGATTGGATTGGCGCTGTCAGTTGGAAAGGCCGAACAATGCCGCACGCTTTTATTTTAATTTTACTAAATATATTCAGATAGGTCGTGATAGAAAGTATGGCAATTTTTATTTTTTGTTGAGCGCTCGCAGATGTCGGACTTATGAGTTTTTCTGTCGTTGTGGATTCGCTTTTTTTCGTTTAAAACACAATTTTGTCTCGTCGAAACACATTTTTGGTCCTTCGAGCCGGATTTAATTCGGTCGTTTCTTTCGAATGGCGTTTAAAGACGGAGTCGATGGCGGATTCAAAACGCCCTCGGAAATCGATAAAGTAGAAATCGAAACATGGACTTCGAGGCAAATCGAATATCTTCTTCGAAGAAGGGCAGCGTTCAAAGGAGTCGTAACGAAAAATTCAAAGAAAGCCAAGGATAATATTAGCAAGAACGTTAGCAAAACGATGTTTCTAACCATAGTTAATCGAGCAAAATAACGGAAGACGTAATTGCCTTACAAAGCGATGATGTGACTAAACGAGCAGAGTCATAAGAATGGTTAGACAATTTGCGAGACGAAGTGGAGGATATCGTCAACTCTATTGAAGAGTATTTAGAAAGCTGTGCAGATGAATCGTCACGCGCAAGCGAAAATCTTCCGTGGCCACTGATGTAGTTAGCGAAGTTGACGACAAAGGAAGTCAGACTTCGCAATCGTCCGAGGATTCGAAAGGGGTTAAATGGACACAGAACTTCATCAAATTATTCTCAAATTCGGTACAGTCCAAAGGGAAGAAGAAGTCAACTCTTAAACTCGACTTTAAAGACTTTGACCCGGAAGAAACTGAAGGAAATGAAGAAAACGAACCAAACGAAGACGGACTCCACTCGAGAGATTTCGATAGATTGTTTAAAGGAATTAAGAAACCCGCTTAAACCGTCTTCAGTGGAGATAAAGACCTTTATCACGATTGGAAAGCGCAATTTGAAATATTTGTGGATCGGATGAAAGTCCCAGCTAAAACGAAGATGATGATGTTGAAAAATTCCTTAACTAGCAAGCCATTACGAGTTGTAGAGCGGTTAGGCTACACATCTAAACAATACCAAACTGCCCTGCAGAAACTTGACCAGAAGTATGGAGGTGAAGAACGACTTATGCAACGTTACCTCGAGGCCATTTTGCGCGCGTCTCCTGTCGAGGAGACTAATTTGAAGGAGTTGAAAATTTTTTCGGATCGTTTAATTGACATTGTGGTTAAGCTTGAGGATAGCGACCAACATCAAGAGCTAGCAGGAGTATCTGCACTTTACATTGTAGTACAACAAAAGTTACCAGAGGCTCTTCTTATCGCCTACCAAGAATGGTTACACAGGAGGCCCAGGAAGGATGGACTGTCCCTATTTTATAAATGGTTACAGAAACAAGTTGTTTATCGTACGGAAGTCGAAGATATTAAAGAGAAAACAAAGAAAAAGACAGAGAGTAATACCGAGGCAAGGAAAAACAAGCGTGAGAAAGTAACAGTTCACAACACTACAAGAAAACCCACATCCAAGTGTGTTGTCTGCCAGGGCCCTCATGAGGTAACCTCATGCAAGAATTGGAGTGAAATATCCATTGCGAGTAGATGGGAAACCACAAAAAAAGAAAGAAATTTGTTATTGCTGCTTGAACTCAGGCCATCAAGGGAAGAATTGTCCGGAAAATAGTCGCTGTGGTATCAATGATTGTAGAGGCACACATTACTTCCATCTACACTTCGAACGTCGATCTAATCCACCTGAACGTGTAGACGCTGCTGTAGAAACCCGGAATGCCTTCGGCGACTCTGAATTCGCAGGGGACGTTGTTTTGCGAACGGTTTCTGTCTGGCTTATAGGTTCAGAGGGTCAGCGCATCCAAGTGAATGCCTTTCTAGACGACGGGTCAGATTCAACCTACGTCCGAGATGACATCGCGACAGCCCTTGGCCTCGAGGCTAAAGAGCAAACCCTCAGATTGACAGACAGTTGTATTCCTCTTACAAGTAAGAAGGTTTCGCTGACGATAAAGAGTATCGATGGGGAGACTCAAGCTACTGTGGAAGCATGGACACTGAATGAAATGTGTCAAGGCTTGTCTATTCCAGACTGGAGTCAACACAAGGTTAAATTGAAACACCTTAAGAACATCCCATTTCCTAAAGCCCCTGGAAGGAAATTAAACGATCGACATTCTGATCGGATCAGACCATCCCGAACTTACGCTAGCATTAAGAGAGTGTTACGGCCCAATTGGAACGCCCATGGCAAGAAAAACGCCATTGGGATGGACTTGTGTCGGACGTTTACCCGCCTTTCGTTGAGCAAAGAGGATAACCTCCGCCAGAACCTTTCGTATCCAGACCTTGTATGAAGTCCGTCTCGATGAACAACTACGGAATGTGGGAGATCGACTCTCTTGGAGTTAGAAACTCTGACGACAATCAGTTGAACCAGGAGGAGATCTTAGCTATGTCTAAGGTCGAAAATTCAAGGAGATGGACTGGGGGCCGTTACGAAGTAGCCATTCCGTGGAAAGAAGAGACCCCCTCCTTACCTGATAATCGAG